CAGGCTGCAGTGCAGTGGCAACATCATAGTTCACTACAGCCTCCAACTCCTAGGCCCAAGCCATCCTCCCACCTCAGCCTCCCAAATTGCTGGGATTACAGGTGTGAGTCACGTAGCCTGGCTCATTAGTGTGATGTTTTAATCCTACAATTTCTTCTTCATTCATTATTGAGAATATTTGTATAATGAGAAAACTCCCCTCACCCACTATTTGGTTACTCTGTTGTAAACTTTATAAAGAAAGGCAGGATAAATGCTTAATTCTTTCCCTTTATTAACCAGTCAAAAAACTGGAGTTTGGTTTGTCACCATCCTTCAAAACTGAACAAAGAGTTAAAATTACATCATCATGAATTACAGGTTGAAACACCTTATGATTTTCAATTCACTGAATTGTTGTTCTTATTGATGTGGAAACCTTATTCTTTTTTTTTTTAATTTCAGAATATTATGGGGGTACAAACGTTTTCGTTACATAAATCGCTTTTGTATAGTTTGAGTCAAAGTTATTGTACCCGTTAGGTGTGAATTTACCCAACACCTCCTCCCTCCTCCCACCTGCTTGATTTCCAATGAGTGTTATTTCCATATGTGCACGTAAGTGTTGATAGATTAGTTCCAATTTAATGGTGAGTATATGTGGTATTTGTTTTCCCGTTTTTGTGATACTTCAAAGAATGGTTTCCAGTTCCATCTAGGTTAATACAAGAGGTATTAGTTCACCATTTTTCATGGCTGAGTAGTACTCCATGGTGTACATACACCACATTTTATTAATCCACTGATGTGTTGATGGGCACTTGGGTTGTTTCCACATCTTTGAAATTGTGAATTGTGCTGCTATAAGCATTCAGGAGTAGGGGTCTTTTTTATAAAATGTCCTTTTTTCCTTTGGGTAAATACCCAGTAGTGGGATTGCTGGATCAAATGGGAGGTCTACTTTTAGTTCTTTGAGGTATCTCCATACAACTTTACATAGAGGTTGTACTAGTTTGCAGTCCCACCAACAGTGTAGAAGTGTTCCTATCTCTCTGCATCCACGCCAGCATTTGTTGTTTTTGGACTTTTTCATAAAAGCCATTCTAACAGGAGTTAGGTGATATCTCATTGTGGTTTCGATTTGCATTTCCCTGATGATTAGAGATGTTGAGAATTTTTTCATATGTTTGTTGGCCATTAGGCTATCTTCTTTTGAAGAATTTCTTTTCATGTCTTTTGCCCACTTTTTAATGGGGCTCTCTGATTTTTTTCTTGCTGAATTGCTTGATTTCTTTGTAGATTCTAGTTGTCAG